CCCGGCTGATTTTTTGATTTATTGTAGAGATGAGGTCTTGCTGCCCAGGCGGGTCTCGAACCCGCAGGCTCAGGCAATCCACTCACCTCAGCCTCCCAAAGACGCGGGATTACAGGCTGAGCCACTGAGCCTGGCTTTAAAATTCTTAATAATTTACATTTTACTAATTGATTGGTATACATCTTTTTTTTTTTTTTTGAGTTGGAGTCTCACTCGGTCGCCCAGACTGGAATGCAGTGGCCGCTCCGGCCACCGCAGCCTCGCCTGCTGGGCTCCAGCGATCCTTCCGCCTCAGCCTTCCGAGGAGCCGGAATTACAGGCATATGCTACCACGCCCGGCTGATTTTTTAATTTTTATCGTAGAGATGAGGTCTCGCTGCCCAGGCGGGTCTCGAACCCGCAGGTTCAGGCAATCCACTCACCTCAGCCTCCCAAAGGCATGGGATTACAGGCTGAGCCACCGAGCCCGGCCGGCATACATCTTTAAAATTAAAAAAATTACATTTTGACTAAATCTAATTTTTTTTATCTTATAATTGAATCCCACTGGAAAATAATCCTCAAACACATGTATCTTTTTTTTGAGTTGGAGTCTCACTCTGTTACCCAGGCCGGAGTGCAGTGGCATGTTCAAGGCCACCACTACCTTGACCTGCTGGACTCAGGCGATCCTTCCACCTCAGCCTTCGAAGTAGCTGCTGGAACCACAGGCATGCACCACCACACCCGGCTAATTTTTTGATTTACTGTAGAGATGAGGTCTCACCAAGTTGCCCAGGCTGGTCTCAAACCCCTGGGCTCAGGCAGTCCTCTCACCTCTGCCTCCAAATTGTTGAGATTACAGGCGTGAGCCACCACATCTGACCACTACTTGTACTTTAATTAAATAATACTTAGATACAACTAGAGGAATTAAAAGGTCAGTGTTAATTATCAAAACTTAAATTTTACCCGGTTCAAATATAACATATTAATTACTAAGGACTTTAGATTTTATAAAGCATATTATAACCTTAAAATTCCTATTTCTTGAAAGAAAAAGACAAATTTTTGATGTGCATAGAGTTTATTTGGTACACCTACTATTAATTTCTACAATAATAAATTGACCAGAAACAGTTCACATAGTGCCCACCTGCACTCATCTAAAATTATTTATTCAGTAGAGTATTTTGTAAGGGTAGAAAGGAGAG